AGAAGAGAGAGAGAGAGAAGAGAGAAGAGAGAGAGGGATAGGCCTTCTCTCCTCAAGACTTTCATTAACTAACTTCGCGACGTTGTCTCGCAACCGTTTTTTTTTCTTTACATCTCTGTTCTTCCAACTTCATTTTTATCTCCACTCAGTTATATATATATATAACTCTGCTTTGTTTTTGCTTAAAATGTCGCACGCCAACGGGGAGAGATAAAGTATGCAAGTAACGCAGGGGGAAGTGCGTAACACTGAAAGGGTGTAGGTAGAAAAGAGAAAGAGAAAAAGTAAAAGAAAAAGAAAGAGAAGGGTGAGGGTAATAAAAGTAGCCGTTACAGTGTGTGTCTGTGCCTGTGCCTGTGCCTGTTGGGGCCTTCAAAAACGCGCTGATCCCACACTGTCGCTAGTAAAGCTCACCGTAGTCATCCAGTAACGGCGTTACAGACGTCATTTCGACTGCCGAATAAACCTCAGTGCCATGCGGCAAACGGGAGTCGGGTTCCGTGATCCTATCATGCGAATGTTGCCGCCCCGGCGATACCGCAGTGAGATCACATGGGGTATCCGGTGCGCTCTCGTATATCGCGTACATGCTTCCACGAAATTCCACGAGTGTGAGACCTTTGTTATTGCTATTCTCATGCGAGCAATGCAGCAACAGGCCACGCTGACAAAGGGCGCGCATGTCCGCCGGGAGGCCCGCTGGAATCACGCTCCCTATTGGAATACTCACCTTCACAAATGGCAAGCCGTCGGCTGCGGAATTATCTACGGCGGTACAAGCGTTATTGTAGTCCGCGTACTCTGCCGCGTTGAAGATACGCGCGGCGAGGTCCGCCTGCCGCCTCAAGAGGCGGTAGGGAGGCTCATTGCTGACAAGTGCAAGGAAGAGTTGGGTGAGGGAGTAGCTGACCGGGCTGGCGGCATGCGGATGGGGCTGCCAGCGACTGAACGGGCCGCCCTCAACGTACACCGGTGGGGTGTACACGACGGCGAAGTCCCCAAGGACTGGCACACGCACGTACTCCACCTCTCTCCCCTCCTGCGCCTCCCTGGTAGCGAGGAACGGGCCCGTGTTGGTGGTTAGCCACATCCCCTCGTCGTACACGGCGCCTTCCCGCCCCCAGACTGGAGAGGACCACTTCCTCGCAGGGCCCGTGGTCACCATTCCCGCCTCATCTGCGCAGAAAATGGGGCAGATAAAAATGTTCGATGGTGATACTACAACCCACGCTGCGGCCACTTCAAACGGCACCTGCATTTCATCCATCAGAATATAATGCAGCGCGTCCGCCACCTGCAGCGTGATACCCACGGCTTCGCGAAGCGTAAACCGTCGACGGTGCACAAACATAATTTCATGCAGGGAATGGTACGCCGCCACAGGCCCTCTGCAACTTCCTAACGGACGAACAACGTACGACGCAGCCGAGGCGTGGGGATTGTAGTCCACGGCAGCCTGCACCGTCCACTCGGTTACATCTTCCGTGATGAATCCAAGTGCCGTTGTGGGTGTTGCGGACATCAAAGGCACGTCACCGTCGTGGGTCGATATTTTCTCCGTGAAGGCCCCAATAAAAGGAACAATATTTGGGTGCAACCAAGTTGCGCGTGCAGCCATATCCTGCACAAAGGCCATGACAATTTCAGCGGAGATGCGCTTTCCATCCACCTCCTCAAGTTCATGCAGCAGCACCGCTGTGTCCTTGTAGCGGTACCCGTTGTGTGCATCAAATACCAGATGCACATTCCTTGACGACGCCGCGTCGTTGCCTGCGCCGCCTTCGGCAGATATGAGCTCCTCAAAGGGCACTTTCCAGCCGCCTAACTTGCGCCGACGGAAGACGTCAATCACCTGCTTCACCGTCAGCCCAGACGCGTTTTCCAACGGACCCTCCAACGATAAGGTCGTGGGGGGCGTCGCAGTGCATGCACCGTCATTCTGCATAAGCTGCACGTAAATGGAGGCGTTTGCCACCTCATCCTCACCTATGGCTACCTTGTGCTCCGCTGTCCACGAAACTGTAGAGTGAAGCCGCCAGGCTCCCTTTATGCGCTCAAACAGCCCGGTGAAGACGGCAGTGCAGGTAAAACATCTCAGTAGTAGTGCTTCCCACCCTGCACTTCCCATAGTCTGCACCAACATTTCGGCAGAAGCAAAGACGGTTAACAGCTGCGGCGACGGCGATGGATCGGGAAGGCGCACCAAGGTGTGAAAGATGTGCTGCAGACGAAGCGCGACCAGCGCACACTGCGCCTTATTGATGCGGGCAGCTGGCACTCTTTCCTGGATAAAGCGCATGTTTCTCTCAAGGGTCATCATAGAAGCCTGGCCGGCAGCCGCGTAGTGCATCTTATTCGCTGCTTCCACACCCTCCATCCTGCTATCGGTTCTCATTGCACCTGACGGCACCCAAGAGAGAGCAAAGGAAACAACAACACTAAATCCACACACACAAGCCTTTTTCCTCTATTGTGTTTGTGTGCTCGTTGCAAAAGCTCCAAAAGAGCAGCATCAGCAACAGACGAGCAGCAACACGTAGTGAGAGAAAACCACATACGCATGTATAGATGTGTATAAAAAGGGAATGAAGTTCCACAGACTAATACGACTCCGCAGCTCTCACTAACTTCCTCCCCAAAAACATAAAGCACACACAGACACAATAATAATAATAATAAATGTTTTATTGCGGAGATGCTGCAAACTAAAAAAAAAAGCTGCACTTTGCATGCACGTGAATTCAAAAACTAAACATATATATATATATATATATATATATATATATATATATATATATATATATA